ACAGCCAGGTGTGATAGTGCACATCCGTAATCTGAGGCCTTGGGAGGCTGAGGCAAGGAGGAGTGCTGCAAATTTGTGGCCAGTTTAGGCTATACACAGTGATTTCAAGACCAACCTGACCTACATATTGAGACTGTTTCAAAATAATACAGTAAACTACGTTGTTTAGCCAAGAAGTTCACTATAGCTGGTTGTGGTGGCACATGCCTATAATCCCGCACTTGAGTGGCTGAGGCAGGAGGACTGTTGCTAGTTCAAGGCCAGCCTGGGCAACAAGGTGAGTTCAAGGCCAACCTAAACCACACTAGTGAAACCTTGTCTCAAAAGAAAACAAAAATTCACTATAGATGCAGAAGAACTTCCAATTTACAGAAATTCTACCAAAAATAGACCAGAGCTTTAAAAAAAGAAAAATCTGTATTTTACCAAGCTAGTCATATAGTCCCTTCAAACTGCCTCTAAGGACAATTAAGAGCATTTAAACAGCAAAGAAAAGTGTATGTTTCCTTTTTCTGCAACATCTTTTAGGACTAAATCAGAGAATAATTGTCTTCTCTAGAAAATATTACAAGATTGTGAAATAAAATCCTCCATTTTAGTTTCTTATTGTTGCTGTAATGTATTATCACAAACCAAATAACATCAATTTATTATCGCATAGTCCTACAGACTAGCAATTAGGTAGACTTGGCTGGATCCTCTGTTTAGGGTCTTATAGGCTGAAATCAAAGTATCTACCTAGATTCCAGCTGTATTCCTTGCTGGAACCTGGGAGGGCGGGGTCCTGGTGCCTGCTCATTCAGGTGGCTGGCTGAATTTAATTCTTTGTGGTTGTAGGACTGAGGTCTCCATTTCTTTGCTGGCCATCAGCTGAAGTGACTGGCCTTTGCTACTAGAGGTTGCTGCTTGTATTTTCCATGTAGCCTCTAGTAACAGCAGGTGGAGTCCTTGTCACACTTCAAATCTACCTCATCCAACTCTAGCCAGTCAAAATTTTGTTTTATTATAAGAGCGCCTATGATTTTACTGGACTCACTCAGAAAATCCAAGATAATCTTTCTATTTTAAGATCCTTAAAGTTCCTACAAAGTAACTGCTTCAGATTCCAGAGATTAGGTACAGGCACTTTAGGTAGCACTCTGCCTAGCAGTCCACTCCCTGGTCTCTTATGGCCTCCACAGATTTGCCTATCTCCCAAATGCAAAAGGAAAAAAAAAATGTATATATCTCATTACAAGACTAACATATTATCACAACACCAACTCAAACCCAAAAATCTCATCTAAAAGTTCAAAACTCTCAAATCTCATCCTTTTAATTCTGGTGTGGAAGGTTCTGGGTATAATACAGAAGGTACAATGCCTGGGACACAATTCCTTAAAAACAAAAAGTTATCTGCCTCCAGCATACTATAGTGAGACAGGGTCAGGGTAACAGTTATAACATTCTAGTTCAAATGGGGAAAATGTAAGAGGAAACAGCACCATTCCATTTCATAGCCTGGAAAAAAACAATTCTCTGAGTCTTTAAGTTCTACTCCTCTAGGTTCTTGGTTCCACCCGAATCACTTTTTTTTTAAAATTAAAGCAACACAATGACATGTGAGTACTGTTTTCTCAGTTAGCTTCTGGTTAGTAGAATTTGGGAGGGCCTAAGAACTCTGTTTAATTTCTTACTTTCTGTCTCTTTCGATCAAAGCTAGTATTGTTTTTCCTGGCACAAAATAACCAAGAACCCCATAGGCTTACTCCCTTCAAAAGACACCCACAGCCAGGGATTTAGCTCAGTGGTGTAAGTGCTTAAGTGTGAGGTTGTGAGTTCAATCCCCGGTACAAAAAACAAAACAAAACAAAAACCACCCAGAAATAAAAACAGGCTCTCAGTTTCAACATTTTCCTTAAAAACAAAACAACTCTTTAGCTAAACATCCAAATTCGTTACTTACAAATTCTGCTTTCCATACTAAAAACAGTTCTGCTAAGAGTATTGACCACTATGTGGCAAGTATCCCCCACCTGTCAGTTTCCAGTACATCTACCTCATTATCTGAGCAGAGTCATTAACATTCAAATTCTTACTAACAATCTGTTCTAGGTCTTTCCTATCATTTTCTATCATCAGGCTCAAATTTCTTTCAGCCTCCACCCACTGCTACTTCCATTTTTAGGTAACAGTACCCCACTCCCGGCACCAAAAATCTGTACTAGCTTCATTGCTCCCATGACAAATTATCAGAAACTTGTGACAATATCACAAATTTATTATCTCATTTTCTGTAAGTTGTAACTTGAGAAGACTCTGCTAGACCTTGTCCTTATAGTTTTAAGGCCAAAGGTGAGCTATTTGCAAACATATATTCTGGAAACTGGAGGAAGATCCTACTTTCAGGTTGTTGGCCAAATTCAGTTCCTTGTAGTGTCGGTTACTAGAGGCCGCCTAAATTCATTCTGACACTGTCTATGTATCCCTTTTGACAACAGCAAATGAAGGCCCTCTCGTGCTTCAAATCTGATTTCCCAGTTCTGCTCATCCAGTGCATGCCTTTAAGGGTTATTGATAAGATTGGGCCTGCACAAAAATCTAGGATAATTTTTGTATTTTCAGATTCTTTAATTACATTTGCAAAGCTCCTGTTGCCATCTACATTATTTATGGACTGTGCAATTATAGTATTTACATCATGGGGGCTGTGCTGTCACTGCAAACCCAAATCCCACATAAGGCTTCTGAACTTCCTGAGTTCTCTCAATCTTCCTGCCTCATACTCCCACAGCGCTCTGATTATGGAAGGATTACCAGTGGGTGCACATTCCTGGCTTCCCTTTTTTTTTTAAAGTCTGTATAACTGAGGCAGAACTTCAAGTTTAATCCTAGCCTGATCTATACAGCAAAACCCTGTCAAAAACAAACAAACAAATTCAAAACAGTAATAAAGCCAGGCATGATGGTGAATGGCTGTGATCCCAGCACCTGGGAGTTCGAGGCCACCCTGGACTGCACCATGAGCTCAACACCTGCCTGAACTACACAGTATGACACTGTTTGACAACAACAAAATAAGTTTTTTTTTTTTTTTTTTGTCTTTTTCATTTTTATCGGTACCGGGGATCGAACTCACGACCGCCTGCTTGCAAGGCAGGTGCTTATGCCGCTGAGCTAAACCCCCCAGCCCCCAACAAAATAAGTATTTTTTAAAAAGCAAAACTTCATCCTTGGAAGAGTGGGTGGGCAGCAGTGGAATGCAAAGTGCACTGTGGAAAACTTGCCAGTTGCCACTTATTTCATCCTCAAATAGCAAGGCAATTCCTCCAAAACTCAAACTAAACCATGCTCCCCTTAACTGTGTGGTCTTCCTTTACTGTTTTCTGTAAAAGAGAACATAACTGGGCCTGCTTGGTATGTTTTCTTTTTTTAAGGAAAGTTGCCACATGGGAACCTAAACTTTGTAACCAAGTAATAAAATTAATCTGAGTAAATAGTCAATGTTTTTTTTTCTTTCTTCAAATCACACATCCCCTTCCAATAGCAAATGAAAGCCAAGAGTCACAGGATAAACCTGTTCTGGGAAGACTACAGAACTTTTCCAAATGATATAGAGAACTAGTATCGATCCTAAAATTTCAGTCTCAGGTTTACCAAGTCAGTTAAGCCAAGCGATCTGCAATCAGCTACAAATATCTGAAGCCTGGTTCTTGACCAAAAATCTACCCAGGACAAAGGAACCCCATATATATCAGTTCCTCCCTTTAATAACAACGACAGGTAAAATCCACTGAGCACTTCCTGCCAGGCACTGCAGTAAGCTCGTGATACAATTTATCTTTATTCACTCCTTGCCATAAAGTTATGAGCTAGAAAATATCACTACGCATATTTGACAGATAGGCAAACTGAGGCTTGCATAGTTTGTCCCCTAGCTTACTAGTGGCCCTGATATTTGAGACCCTACGGAATCAATTAACCACTGCCACACCTTCGATGAAAGAACGAGGGTTCTAGCTCTTGGAAAAAAATCTTTCTTCCTAATTTTATTTTCATATCCTCTCAAGCCCCCTTTTTATTGAATCTAGCAGGTGAACGGTAACCTTTCCCAAGTAACTTGTCACCCCACTTCCAGAACTCTTTCTCCCTCACAAAAGCAAAAGCCAAAAAGCAATTCTGACCCTGATTTTGTTTCCCCAAAACAAACTACACAAGCTCTACTCATCACCTGCTTGGCATAGCTATGTTCCAACACTGCAAAACTCAACCAAGAAGAGATAAAATCAAAAAGCCCTACTCTCTCAAAAGGTCACCAACACACGTACACTCACTCTCCCGACCTTTCATTCTACAAACCCCGCTCTCCCTCTCCACCCGGACTCCCAAACAGCCCTGAACCCCAACTCCGCCCATTCTGTCCCACTTTGCGGTTGCCTCCTTCCTTCTCTGCAACCACTCCCCGCGGGTCCTCCCTTCGTTTCCGGGGTGCAGGTGGGGATCTCAGCCCCGCCCAGACGGACCCCGGGCCGGGCGCCACGCCAGCTGCCCCGCTCCGCCCGCGACCGCACGCGCCCTACCCAGCAGGCGCCACTCCCTCGGCTCCCTCCCCTAGCATCCTCGGCCCCACCCCCAGGGCCCCCTCCCCCTCCCGCGACCCCTACGTCCAAGTTGCTCCCTAATCTCCACCCTGTCCAGCCTCCAGCCTCTCACCACTCCAGCAGCCAGAAGAAGCCCGACAGCCGGTTCCCACCCTCACATTGGCGTCAGCCTCGAGGCCTCGCCTTTCACCCTGGGGTGGGCTGGCCCCGGGCCTCCCCAGTGGACTGCAGGAACCTCGACTATGTGTGTGTGTGTGTGTGTGTGTATGTGTGCGTGCGTGTGTGTGTGTAAAGAGGAGCGGGGAAAGCGAAGCACCTCTCGGGAGTGCGCTAGTAGTTTTAGAGGCGGTCTTGACCCGCTGCCCCATCCTGGGTCCACCCCCAACCCCCTACGACCTCTCCCCACGTCTCCCTCTGTACCTGTGATGGAAGCGGCGGCGGCACTCGCCGCTCTCCCGTCTCCTCACACAGACAATATGGCGGCGGCGGAGGAGGAGACACACGACTCGGCCGCCAGCCGCAGGGACCAGAGCGAGGCTGCAGCCTCCGCTGCCGGAAGCGGAAGCCCCCTCCTACTCGGAGGCGGGGCAGAAACGCTTCCGACTCCGCCCCCAGCCGAAGCCAGCCGACCGCCGCCATGCTGGGACTTCCTAATGCATTCATGGGGTTTCGGTTCCAGATTGGAGCGCAAGATGAAAAGGATTGTCGATGCATTGCATGATAATGAGATTTCCCATAGCCAAGGTCATTTTATTTCAGTATCTATGCTAACTGATGAGAGAAAGAACACGAACCTCCCACCAAGCATACAATTGGTTTGACCCAAACTAACATGGCGGTCCCTAGGTTTCCCGCACTTCGTCCAGCTGGCGAGTCCCATCAGCCCACGGTTCACCCCCGCCCTTTCTTGAAAAGAAGCATGCGCGACCTGCAGAGCTGTAAAGCGAAGCATTTTGGGAACTGAAGTCTCTCTTGGTCCGACCCTTCAACTAGAATTAGGGTTCCCGCAGACACTTTTGTCCTCGAACTTTGAGTGTGGAACAAGTGAACCAAAGTTTTGTCCCGGGAAAGGTGTGGCGCAGGAGCCCGGGAAGTGATGTTAATAGTCTCCTAGAGACCGAGGCCCAGTTCCTTCCTCCTACAGAAGGACTACCTAGAGCTGCCCACCTAGAATATTAGAGTTTTCCTTTTGATCTGCTCCCCATTTGCACTCTTTTGGCCTGGATTTCTTGTCCAAAGCAGAGGCAGCACTTTTCAACCGTGAAACCTGATCATAGTCTCCTCTTGGTCAAAAACCTCCCATGACTTGTTCAGCAACAAACTCTGTTTGACATTCAAGGCCTTCTTTAATTTGGTTATAATTTGCCTCTCTACTCTCCTACTCTACTATCCTCTCCCAAATTCTTTATGCTTCCACTAACTAAAACTGCAAACAATTCCTGACACTTGACTGTGTTGTTTCCTTTTCTTTACACTGACAATTACTGTTACTGTTAATGTTACTGTTACTGGATAATTTGTATGTTCATTGAACTAACTCAGGGTCTTTTCCTCTGCTGATCCCTCTCTCTGTCTCTCTGTCTCTGTCCTTGTCTCTGTCTCTGTCTCTGTCTCTGTCTTTCTCTCTCTCTCTCTGTCTCTCTCTCTCTCTGTCTCTCTGTCTCTCTGTCTCTCTGTCTCTCTGTCTCTTTCTTTCCCCCAAGCCCAGACATCTTTACTCAGCAACCGGAGGCCCTTTGTCAACCTCCAACAGACTGTGAGCTCCTAGTGGACAGGGCTGGATCTGATGATCACCCTTTCCCCTGCCAGCCCTGCTAGAAGTTGGTGTGTAAGTGTTGCTGAGAGGAATTTAAGTGTTAGCCACACCTCTGGTAGGGCAGAGGTGTAAAGGCTGAAACAAGGGCGAGGAGGTTGTGTTATTTCTGTACCAGCCATTATTCCCAGCTACCTCAGAATAGCGGCTGTTCCAGGGATTGATCTCTCCACCCTCTCCAGCTCTCCTTTCACAGTTTGTCAGCTGACTGGCACCTCTGATCCCAAAGAAACAACCTCCACCCTTGTGAGATGGAAGTAGTGGTGGCCTCAGAGAGGGGTCCATGACCTTTTCTAAGCCTCATCTGCCAGAAAGTTCTGGAGTTTTGATCCATCCCAATTGCCTGCATATCTACAGCAGTTGTTCTCTGGATGTTCCCAAGATGGTCATTCTTCTTCCCTGAGCTTTATTTTCCCTACTTGTGAACTGAAGAGCGTGGACAAGGTGATCTCAAGATTTCTGTGACTCTCTTCCAGGAAATGACTGGCCTTCCATCCATCTCTTGGATCATGTCTTTTTGTTTCTCATGGCTTTTTTTTTTTTTTCCTCTTTAAGACAAGGTCTCACTATGTAGTTCAGGCTTGCCTTGAACTCACTGTGTAGTCTAGGTTATCCTTAAATTCATGGCAAGCCTCCTGCCTCATCCTATGGGATGCTGGGATTACAGGTGTGCACCACCACGCCTGGCTCCCTTTTTCCACTTTTATTCATATTTGTTCAACTCATAGCTATTGATCACTATCGCTGAGCCAGGCACTGTGCTAGGTACGAAGGATGTGGGATGAGCAAGACAGATAACAGCTCCTCAGTGGCAGAACTCATCTCCTGAAGTGAGAAACAAACAGTGCACAGGTAATCAAATGAATCAGCAATTTTACATAGCAATAAGTGCTCTGAAGGGAATAGATAAGTAGTTGTGAAGTAGAATAAAAACTTCAGACAGCGCTAAGTGCTCTGAAGAAAAAGCTAAGTAGGTTTGAAATAGAGAACTTTTGCTTAAGTGGCTTAGAATCTCCCTCTGGGAAGGCAATACTATGTACAGTGTCCCAAGGCAGGAAAGAGCTTGCTGAGTTTGAAGGAGGCTACGTGGACTAAAGCACCATAAAAGTAGGGGGTAGAAGGGTGGGGAAAATGAGGAAGAAGTGGACAGGTCATTCAGAACACAGTAAGAAAGCTGGACTTTGACCTGAATGAAGTGGGGTCTTCCTATGCGTTAGCCTCATGCCTGTCTGATGACTTCAGTCTCTCCTATAGCGTCTGTTCTTCCTTCTTCTCCCCAGTTCTGGCCTCAGCCAATAACCTCATTAAGAGAACTCACCTGGCACATATTTACAACCCTTCATAGGCCTGCAGAACACAGCTGGTGCTCAATATCTGCCACTTCCGAGCCACTGGTACAGGCTCTGGTTTCAAGAGGCTCCTAGTTCCCGATGTCTGCTTTATTATGGACTTAATATTCATTTTAAGCATTCTCTCTGTCTCCTGCCCTCCCAGATTTCCTTCAAATAACAATCACAGCACCAGCACCAGTCAAGATATTGAGAGAACTTGCCCTGAACCAAACATGTAATGTTCACCACCTCATTTAATCCTTATATCAACTTGATGAGGTAGAAACCAAAGTATTCCATCAGACTGATAAGGCAAAGAGGCTCAGGGACTACATGGAGCTTGCATTCCAACCTGAACCATTAGTTTTAATCATTGCACTAAGAACCTAAGTATATCAGTGCTCTATTGCTACTGACAAGTTGTCTCCAAAACATAGTAGCTTAAAAACACCCACCGTGTATTTGCTTATGTTTGTGTACATTTGCAATTTGAACACATCTCAGCAGGGACAGCTCTGTTCTGTTCTGCGTGGTTTTGTGTGAATTTGCAGTCAGGAAGCAAGTCAACAAGCTGGCTGTGGAAGTTGACTGGGGTTACTTGTTTAAGTACCTTTTTTTCCCTCTGGGTGGCTTCGTCCATAAACCAGCTCAGCTTCCTTACATGATGGTCTCCAAGGGAAGAGGAAAAAAGTAGCAAGGACTATTGCGAACTGAACTCAGAAGTGTGGTAGCATCACTTTTACTGTATTATATTGATCAAAGCCTTCATACAAGACTCACCAGCTCAGAGTCAAAGGGCTAGAAAGAGATTCTATCTCTTGATGAGAAAAATAAGTCTTATCACAAACAGTCATGTGTACAAGAAAGTATGGAACCATTGTGGTCAATTAGTAATAATTATATCACATGAAGTAACTACATGAAGCTAGATTTGGTGGCTCATGTCTGCAATATTAGTACTCTGGGAGGCAGAAGTAGGAGGATTTTTAGTTTGAGGCCAGCCTATGTTACACAGCAAGTTTCAGGCCAGCCTGAATTCCATTGTGTGAGACCCTGTCTCAAACAAAACAAAACTACCAATCAAACAAAAAAGAATGGCATTAAACCAGGCATGATGGCACATGTCTGTAACCTCAGTGCTCTGGAAAGCTGAAGCAAGAGGATTATGATTTTAAGCCTAGTGTCACAAAACCAGTAATAAAAAGGGGCCAGGAATGTAGCTTACTGCAAAGTCCCTAGGTTCAATTCCCAGCACATCCCCATACTCACACACACCGCAACTATGTTTGGAGCTGGTTAAATAAATTAGAGCTAACCATGGAGCTACTCACATAATGAGGGCTAACATTTTTTAGCAGTTGATATGTGTCGGACACTGCAAGATCCTCATCTACAGTAACTTATTTAATTCTCTCTGTGAAGCTAGTACATTTTTAGCCCCACTTCAGAGATTAAAAACATCAGGTTTTAGAGAAGTTAAATAACTTATCCAGCTGGGAGTGGCAGTAGACACTAAGGAGGCTGAGGCAGGAGGATTGCCATGAGTTGAGGTCACCTTCAACTATATAGTGATTTCAAGGCCAGTCTGGACTACATAGTAAGAACCTGTGTCAAAACAAAAATAAACAAACAAATCAACACCAAAACAAAATAAAAACCAGAGCCTGTACCAGTGGCTCAGAAGTGCAGACATCCAAAGTCATACTGTCTGGAAATGACAAAGAATGACCTTATGTTCTGAAACAGAAAACTGGCCCTGACTTGCTGTTGGGTGTTAAAAAGCAAGAGACAAAATAGTAGTTTGGTTAAAGTATTTAAAAATGTGTTTATGGTAAAGTCCATAATATACTGGGAAAGCAGGTACATCTAACATTCTTGCTACATTAACAAATATGCCACGTTACAGTTTAGAGTTCAGGAAGAATTTGCCAAGCTATGAATAATGTTCCTCTCTGAAGAGGAGAAGAGGTGGAGATTTTACTTTTAAGTTTGTTGGGGTCTTTTGTTTGTTTCTTTGTTTGTTTTGGGGCTACTGGACATTGAACCCAGAGCCTTTGGACTGACCTCCATCCCCAGATCTTTAATCTTTTTTTTTGTTTTTGAAACAAAGTCTCATAAAATCATTAAATTGCCAGGAGAGTCCTGGGACTACAGGCATGAACCATCGTAGTCAGTTTAATTTCAAAACTACTATCTGCATTGTTTGAATTGTTTTTAAAAGATAGGGGCTCACTATGTAGTTCAGGCTGGACTTGAACAACTTACTAGGTAGCCCAGGCTGGCCTTGAACTCACAGTGATAATACTGCCTCAGTCTTCTGGTTCAGAAATCACAGATGGATGCTACCATACCTAGCTGTTTGAAAAAAAAAAAATTTACAGCAAATATGAACTGTGTGTCAAAGCTCCATAAGGAATGTGATCTTAAA